TTTTTTTTTTGGTATATCTGTCGATCTGTTATGAGTGAGACATGTCAGAGGAGTACTATGAGTGAGATCTAGGCTAGGTTCCGCAAAGTTTCGGTTTTCACAAAATGCGATCTTCAAAAAAAAAAAAAAAATCTGCGAAATAGAGTAGAGATGCGATTTTCAGAAGAGAACTAAATCCAGTTTCTGAGAATATGGCAACCTTCTAATATGCCTAACGTAATGCTGGTAGGCTTCGCAAGATTTCGGTTTTCAAAAAAAATTTGCGAGATAGAATGGAAATTCGATTTTCAGAAAAGAATAAATCCGGTTTCCGAGAATATGACCACTTCTATCGTTATCCTAATATGCCTAGAAAACGAAATGTTAACATCAGAAATTTTCAGCTATGTATGCAAATATCAGAGAAACGAAATGCTACTATCAGGAATTTTCAGATAAAAATTTATTAAAAACGAAATGCGATTATCAGAAACTTTCAGATATGTGTTGCGTGAAAACGAAATACTAATATCAGAAATTTCAGGTAAAACGAAATGTGATTATCAGAAATTTTCCGATAGTTGTTGCGAGAAAAAAATTTCAGAGATTTGACAAAGTCCTACTTGATTTACTAATGAGTAATCAATAGATCAAGCAAGCTGGCTACTCGATTGAGCGGGTCCTCTGAATGAGAGGTCCGCTCTGATACCAAACTGTTGCATACTGTAACGGTGCAGGCCAGAACAAGAACCGACCTCTCAATACAAAGTACAAGATAGCGTAGCGGAAGTCTTAGATACCAATGATCCGAACAATCAATATTGCAATGCAGCCCCAAACATACATCATCATCATCATTCCATGGTGTGAAGGGGTCTGGCGCTCACACAGGAAGAATGCGCCAGCCCCAACCATACAGACGAAGAAGAGGGGGGTTAGACGAAGAAGAGGGGAAGATGGGAATGTCGTCAACACCAAGTCTTCGGCACAGGCCCAAATAGTCCCTCGTCAAAATGTCTGAATCCCAATGTCGAGTCTGGATCAATTGTCGTCAAGTCTCAAGTCACAACTTTCTCTCTCTGTCGTAGTCCGCTGATACTGAGAAGTCAGGTGGTGAGAGGGGAAGAAGAGATGGTGGACTTAGAAGAGGAAGAAGAAGAACTCTCTCTCTCTCTCTCTCTCTCAGTCCGATACTAACCTGTGAAGTTGGCGCCTTGATGCAGGTACCTCGAAGATGGAGCTGGAGCTATGGCACCACAGGTAAGT